TTGAAATACAAGTACTGCTCTCACTTACATGAGGCAGTGTTCTAGTAGTTTGTTTTTTTCTAACTTACTGTTGTATCTCAACAGTGCAATGCAGGGTTAAGTGTGGTTTGGTTTCTTCTGCTGCTTGGGTCAAAGAAATGTGGAGATGGTCCTGAAAGTGAAATAATGTCTGTCAGCAGGAAAATAAAAACTGCAGAGACAAAACCCACTGGAATATACTGTGATTGGCCTCTGTCTTTGCAGGAGAATGGTGTTCTGTCATTGTCAGTTGGTTGGTTGTCATGGTTGCTTTTTATTTTATTGTAATGGGAAAATTCTAAGACCCTTAAAGCAGTCTGTGCCCTTCTTAATAGGTTTTTGGTTTATACCCATTAATTCCACCAAAGTTTGGTGTTCCTGGTGAACTTGCTGTGTTTTTTGAAGGCTGTTTAAGGCAGTTTGTTTACAGCAGAGATTACAAGAACTCTTCTGTTCCAGACAATGTGGTGTTATTTCTCTGTTAACCTGCCCAAGGCTGAGGGAATTCACGTCTTCTGTCAGAAAACAGTGACGCACTTGAGGTTTCCTCTGTCACTGACGTCCAAAATCTCTCCGTTATTTGACCACCTCCATGAACCTCAGTTTTGACCTTCATAGTTTTTCAAGGGTATTTTCTTGTGTTTGATGTTTGATGCCCTCTAATTGGAGCCCGTGGAGCCTTACTGCACTTATTTGTTTTGCTGTGCAGATTTGAAGAGTAGTGTCTTCGTTTCCAGTAAGTTACTAGAACAGCTTTAGCTGTGTCTCAATAAACGTACCATTGCATTTATCAGGACACTCTTACTTAACTGTAGGAGTTGGTTCTTACCTCTAAAAAGGGGGGGAAAAGTCTCAACAGTTCCTCTTTTTTTCTTCTTGTTTTATCTGTTAAGGGCGAATGTTGGTTTTGGTTTTGTTTGTTGATGGAAGATTATGGATTGAAAGAGTGCATATGAAAGTTCAGGTCTCAAACAAATGGCAGTTGATGACTTCGGAAAGGCTTAATAAGGATATTCTGTATTGAGGTACTTGGAAAGCAGTAAAGAGCATGCTTGCATTCTTCCAAACAAAGCTTTCTGTAGATTTTCCAGTGCCTTTTTCAAGTGTTCACCTAAACACCTGGGCATTGTTGCTGTAGGTAATGCTGACAGCTTTGGGCATGCATGCAGTTGATACAGTGACTGTCTAACAAAGTGACAATGTGAGGCAAATTCCATTCCTTTTCTGAAGTAACATTTATACTGAAATTCTTAGAAACAGACACTTGGAAGTGTTCCTTCAGTCATTCTGAATGCTTCTACAGAAATCCATTTATTCAGACCAGCTTATAGGTAGTGTAATCTTGCAGATTAGATCTTTCCAAAGAACTCAGTTTTCTTTTAAACTAAGTCCATTTGGTCACCCCAGTGTTGCTTCTGTGGGATCAGGTGCATTGTGATTTGTTGGCATTCACCTGGCGATTGCTTACACTTGTTTTCTGAGTTGTAACTGAACATTGGATTGAAGTGTGTTTCTGCAGTTCTGCTTTCTTCAGTGTCGTGCTCTTTAATGGGATTTGTGGTGTTGTCCGTTCTCCCTTGTTGCTTGGCACAGGCATGTAAAAGAGGAAATTCGGACATTGTGCGACTTATGATTGAAAGCGGAGCGGACTGTAACATCTTGTCAAAGCATCAGAACAGTGCACTGCATTTTGCTAAGCAGTCTAACAATGTCCTGGTGTACGAACAGCTCAAGAGTCATTTGGAAACGTGAGTAAACTGTGCTTGGAAGTTTGGCCTGGGGAAGTGCGAATTAACTGTGCGTGTAATCATCTTGGGTTAAGCTGGGGAAGGGGGAGAGGTTTGGGGGAGAAAGTATGGAAAGTATGGAGTATGCCAGTTCTTCCCTACCTTCTAAGAAGGAAATCACGGTATGTTGTATGGGAGCTGTTGAGTCACGGCCTGAACCACTGATTGATCACCAGAGGAAAGGAGCGGGTCAGCCATGGGAGCACAGGTGAAGGAAGCGGTGGAGCCTGGCTGCACCTCTCCTATACCCCATTTAAGGGCTGACTGCCACTGGGGAAGGATCTCTTTCTGCAGATCCCTCCTCTGTGGGGTCTTTCCTACAAACCTAGATCTGTGGATACGGGTGAGCGTTCCTCCCTGTTTCTTTTCCCATTTTCACCACGATAATCTTTGTAGCTGTAACACCAACTGTAACACGTGTTCAGTTAGGTTTTTGAAGGCAACAGGAAGTATGCAGATAAAGCTTAGCACGTGCTGTTCAGTGAACTTAATCTTTCTTTCATTCACTGTTTGATGCTTTCTCCAGTTCATCTGCTATTTAAAATCTGCCACCAAATGTACGTTCAAGATCTTACAAAACACAACTTTACCAGTGAAATGCCGGCTGCTTGTACAGGCAGCCCCCCTACCCTGCCAAATAGCCTCCACATCCCAAACTATCTGAATGATGGAACTGTTGCTTTTTTTAGGGAGGTGGTTAGTGAGCATGGTGGTGATAGGCTGACAATTGCACTAGATGATCTTAGTAGTCTTTTCCAACCTTACTGATCTGTGGTTTTAATAAAGCTTAATTTGGGAATTGCATTACACTAATAGTACAACCAGTAAAAAGAGTGATTTGTTCTACCCTGCACTTGCAGTCATTTTACTGGGGGGAAGCAGTCGCCTGTTCCCATTCAGCCAGCGGTGCCTACTGGTGTTCCAGCAACACCTTTCTACATAAGGAAGTATGTGGTTACTGAGACTTCTGGTGTCTGCTGTGGTGTCCTTGTCCACAAAAGTAAAACGCTGAGGTCTGACAGATGGAATTTCACAAACAGGTCTCTGAGAAAATGTTTTATTAACAAAATGTCTGGACCTGGGGCTCATCTGTGCATAAATGTAGGTGATAAAGTCCTGACAACTGGGAATGCAGAAAGCAGATCTGGAATCGTTCTTTGTGTAATCTCTCTTCAAGACTGTCTGCTGAAGTAATGGTTCTGTGTGAAGTACAGGCCTCGCTTATTTCCTCATGTAGACTCTCAAGAGTAGCAGAAGATACCATCAGGGACTATTTTGAAGCTCGCCTTGTTTTGCTGGAGCCAGTCTTCCCAATTGCTTGTCACCGTCTCTGTGAAGGGCCGGACTTCTCCACAGACTTCAACTATAAACCCCCACAGAATGTGCCAGAAGGTAGGGATCTTGTGTTGGTTCTGCTTGTCTGTACTTAAAAAAAAAAAAAAGCAAAATAGAAAATAGTGCGTTGAGAATCTGCCTTTTTAATTATCTGCTGTATGAAATGCATGGCATGTTGTAATACAGAACGTGATATTAATGGTGCTCCCTATATTCAGGTTGTGGAATGCAGGAGTAATATTTTCATGCAGTGTGGGTGAAATACTGCTTAAACTGGGATTTTGAGGTGTTTGTCCAGTTTTTATTTGGTTTATTCAGTTTATTCAGAGATGTAAACATCTTCTCATTTTTTTATGATACACTTTACTGAATTAGGAAGCATTACATAAATTTACATACTAAAATGGGGTACTTGTATATATTGAATACTGTTGCTTCCTAACTTTCAGCGCAGTTCATAAACACCCATACTTGACTGAGCTTAGCACTCCCTACCAAGAGAAAAGATAAGCCAAAGTACACAATGTTCCCAAACTACAGATGCATCTGTTTTGCTTTCCTTTCTGATCCCTGCATAAGGTTTATTTTGCTGCCAAAACCCCTCAGCCTTGTGAGCAGCTCAGTTGTGTTCTCTGCTTGGGCTCACTGGCTTGGGAGATTGGATTTCCTTCTACATATTGCTTTGATGCTCCTTTGGAGCTTCATATTTACGCAGACACTAAAGGTACCTCGCTGCTTGCATTCAAAAGTTTGGTGTTAGCAATTGTTCTAAATCATGGATCCCGTTTCAGCTTTGTGTGAGTGAACTGCCTTCCCTTCTAGGATCTGGAATTCTTCTCTTTATTTTCCATGCAAATTTCTTTGGTAAAGAAGTCGTTGCTCGGCTCTGTGGACCATGCAGCGTACAAGCTGTGGTTTTAAATGACAAATTCCAGCTCCCTGTATTTTTGGTAAGTATTTTTCATATGACTAATTGGCTGTAAAACTGTCTGCAGAACAGCCTGGCAGATATTAGAGCCAGATGTTAGAGTTGGATTTTGAGTACTACAGTGGTGTCTTTTAATTTTGAAATGAAACTTAATATATATATATATTTTACATGGAGAGGAGTGCACAGCCTGTAGGCAGTAGATTCCATAGAGTTAAATAAAAGGCAGGGCTGCAGCTGTGGGCCCCCTGCTCTGTGTGTCTGTGCTGGAGCCCAGGTTGGGCCAGGGGGGGGCAGAGAGCCTTGCTATCCTGTGACTGCGTGATGCCAGAGCTGAGGCTTTGGGCAGAGAGGTGAGAATTCAGCACCTGAAGGAGTATCCTTTCCCCAGCTCACCTTGCTTCTCTGCCTTTTAACACAAATTCTTTAGTGTAATCTTTTCAATGACCTTTCTCATTTATGAGTCATGTAAATTTATTGTTTTTTTCTATAAAATGTATCACTGTCCACACACTGAAGTCCTCTTGTTTTCTCTGTGATTCAGATTGCACTAAAAGTTCTCTGCAATGTACACAACTTTTAAATATATATATGTATTTAAATTTATATTTTATTTATTTGTTTGTTTGTTTGTTTATTTAAATTTGCCCAAAAGCAACTGTAGTTTGTCATATTCTTTGACTCACACGGCAGTTTGGACCATATCCTGCCATTAACTTTATCAATTCTCTTTTAGGACAGTCACTTTATTTATTCCTTCAGCCCAACTGCAGGCCTTAACAAGCTTTTTATCCGGCTAGCAGAAGCTCCTACAGCCAAGGTACAAAATACTTTCACTTGTGTACGCTGATCTGATGCCCCATCCCTGGAGGCATTCAAGGCCAGGCTGGATGTGGCTCTGGGCAGCCTGGCCTGGTGGTTGGTGACCCTGCACATAGCAGGGGGTTGAAACTCAATGATCATTGTGGTCCTTTTCACGCAGACCATTCTATGATTCTGTGATCTGCTGTGCTATACCTCCTGTAATCTGTGTGCTTGCAGTTAAACATGCCATGTGGTTTGTTGAATGCTCCCATCTTCATGTCAAACCTGTGTTTGCTTTTACAGGTGAAGCTGCTAATAGGAGCATACAGAGTACAGCTGCAGTGACCTCACAGTTGCGAGCCTGTTGAGCGGCCTGACACCTCTGGGATATTCTTCTGAGTCCTCTGTTTAGAGACTGACAAAGCAGTTTGGAACTTTTTGGCACCACACTCTTAGTCCCAAGTTCCCATCTTCATGTTGTTTGTTGGCAGTCATATAGGAAAGTACGTATTGGAGAGCAGCTGAATACGCTGTGCTGGTTGGGACAGGGTTGTCAGCTCTTTTTTGATTTGTACAGACATAGATGTAAGTATTTGTGCCAATACATACAATGCTGTCTTTCTTTAACTTGTTGAGTCCAGACTGCATATTTCAGCTTTTCCACAATGTGGAATGGTGCACACAAGAACTATTTAAGGTAACTAAATGAAATGTCTTGTTTTTTTTTAAATAGAAGGATCTTTTTTCATTTGTAAACTACAATTTTCTACTTACTCAAATAACTGAAATGTTTCAGTGTAAAATGCAGGACTGTTGTATTCTCAGAGCAGTGAGCAGGAATTACACCTGAAAGCCACTGCATCACTTAAGCATGAACTGCTGGCGATCACATTCTGGTTTGAAACTTCCTGCAGTTGCTTCCTGGTGGGAGAGCAGGAGCAATTGCCTGTGTGAAAGCCCTGCGTGATTCCCTTTGAACAGACAGTTAGGTCTGCAGGAGTGAACAGGGACGTCCAGATAGGCTCAATGAGTAGAACACTGTGGTTGGATTCCTAGTTACATCAGTGCTTTAAAACTAATCTTGTGTTAGAGAAGCAACTGATAGTTATACAGGCATCTTAACTTTGGAGTTGTTAGTCAAGTGGCATGTGAGAAAACAAATAGCTGGAACTAGCAAACCAGAAGATGTGTTAACTGCTACCTTAACTGTGGGCAGTGCTTTCCTAGGTGGCTAAAAGGTACAGAGGAGTTCAGATGTTCTCATCCTGACTGCTGAGAACAGGTGCTGCCCTCATTCAGAACTCAGATCCTGTGTGCAAAGAGCTGCTATCTATCCATCTTTTTATTTCTCTAAGTAAGTGACCATTTTATCAGATGACAGCAGTTCTGCAATGGTTCTGTGCTGTAACATACAAATGTAATACTTCTGCCTGAAGTAGAGTATTTTTCTTTGTAAATTAAACAACATCTTGAAAAGTAAAGGAAAGAAAGATTGTGCCTTTGCTGTTCTGGTTGCCACAAGTAGTTTACATGACACTATGTGCCTATATTGCTTAAGAAACTATTGGGGATAAATAATGTATTTGCACCATTTTGATGGTGAGCACTCAGTTGTACCCTTTTAAGAACTGTGACTTTATATTAAAACTTTCAGCTTACCACTTTTAAGTTCTGGTTCTTGAAAGTTTAAAACTTTGATACTAAGAGATGCCAAATCTTAGTAATGAAGCACACTATCATCTGTCTCAGTTCTGTGGAACGTTACATTTTCTGTGTAGAACTACACCAGCACCATGATATGCTCATTTCTGGTGTCATTCAAGGTAGTCAATCAAGCAGATTGATGGGTGTGTTAACAAGTCTGAATTTAGAATAGATTTTTATCTCTCTGAAACCTGCGATACCTCCCTCTCCCATGCATAAACACTGCAGTGCACAGAAAGCACTGGCTGAGAATCAGGACCGTCCCTACCAGCAGCTGCTGGTTCTCTTCTGAATTTCAAAGTGTAGGTATTAGGAAATAGTCACTGAAGATGAATGTGGATAGGAGATGTTCTTCAGCATTTCCTTAGGGTGGAATGACAGCTTTCCTGTGGTTACTGTTTCCTTGGCTGTCCCTGCATTGTGTGCTTAGGAGTACATGTGTACAGTGTGCCTCTGGGAGGGGGCTGAGCTCTGAAGGACTGTGCAGGTGGGCCCAAAAAGGTTTTGAACAGGTGTCTGGGTAATTTTCTCAAAGCAGTGCAGAACTGCTGTACAGTCTAACCAAAATGCTGCTCCAAGGGTTGACGTAGCAAGTAAGTTGTCAGAGGTGATACTGAGGGTGGTGGATGGTGTTGGTTTGTTAGGGCTGTTGTTGGGTTTAATACTTCTTCCTATCTTGACAAGCTCAAGGTGCTGAAGGGAGGCTTACAGCAAAGAGGAAGAAAACCTGCATTCATAACACTGTTACTGGGGGATGGATTTTGCAGCCATCTTCCTCTTCCGATGGTGATTCAAGTTTTAGGTTCCTACTGAAGAGATATGAAAAATGTTCAGTGCTGGCTTCTGTATGATTTTACTACATCCTTTTTATCCAGCTAAGGGAGAAGTTTTGGTGGACAAAGGGTAAAGAGACAGCTACAATAAAAATCACCTTAGGCACTGGGCAGAAGTATTTTTGACATACTTGTTTGTTTTTTTCCTTCTCTTGCTCTTTATTTGCAAAGCAGAGCAGCAGGGATTGCTCTCTGCAGTACAAATACATGGCTCTGAAGGTACGAACTCATTTGCTCTCACTGCTGCACTCTGGTTTCTCACAGGTGCTGGAGCTTAGTGGGTAACATGGTGTCTTTCTGCAGGGTCTTTGGTGGTCTCCATCCTTACCCTGTGGCCATCATGACCCTCAGTTTGTTTCCATGATGTTGCTGCACTACTGCATTGTTATTCTATGCCCACAAGACTTTGCTTTGTCTCTTAAGGGGTTCCCATCAGCTGCTCAGTTCACATTCACTGTCTTTGAGTTCAGGAAACAAAATTAATACACAAGTAACAGGAGGTTGATTTGAAAGAGTTTCATTAGAAACTCTGAAAAAAGGAGAGCTACAGCACTGCCATATTACAATGCGGAGTTGGAACCTCATGGCATCAAAAAAAACCACGTTTTTCATTTTGCTTTATTCATTGTTTTTCCTTCTAATGAACTGTTAGTACAGGTTTTTTTTTTAATCATCCAACTCAACTGCATAGATGGTGAAACCTTAGAACTACTTCAGATCTTCCTGGTAACAGTTGCTTACTTTCCAGGCTGTTGCTGCAGGCTCAGAGTTTTCCAGGTAACTAATGCTTCAGTGCTGTGTGAATGCTGCAACTTCAACACAAATTCACTGTTTTTCCTTCACATATGGCAAAGTATGGTTATTTCTGTTTTGGCACATTTTAGTGTTTAATAATGTTATCATCCTCCTTGGAGTTAAGCAGAATCAGTGTTTTTAAATTCAAAAGCAGTCATGTAAATGATACTTTAATATATGACTTACTGTGGTTCCTGTTCCAGAACGTACAGCTGTGAAGCCTTTATGAGCACCCTTTTGCAGTACTTGTACTGGAGGGCCACAAACAAAGTGTACAGTACAGTACACTCAGTAAAAAGAAAGGCAAGACCTCAGGTACACATCTGAGTTGTCAGCCACCATCTCTGCTATATAAAAGCTGAATGCTAGAGACTGAACATCCCAGTACCAGCAGTTTGGACTTTCCTGTGCAAGGAGGTGCAAGGAGCTGCCAGCAGCTGTTTTTCTGATGTATCTTCTGCCCAGTCCTGTACTGGTAAACTTCCCATTGCTGCCTGCTAGTCTTGCAGGGCTACTGGTCCTGTCTGCAAGCACAAAGAATGCAGCCCAAAGGAGAAAGCTAAATAGCAGAGATCGCTAAAGTGATCAAAGAGCCACTGCTCTAATTGCTATTTTATTGGTTAGCAGCATTGTTCTTGTGCCCAAGAGCACACAGAGCAAGGACTAGGGGGAAGAACACAAAAGAGACAGATGGTCCAGCATAAGGGGAAGAGATGTCATCACAGCTCACAAGCATCGCTGTTGTTTGTTGCAATTATTCTGAAAATCACTTTTTCTCACCTCAGGTGATCTTTTAAGTTGTAACTTGAAGAGATGAACTTGTACGGATTCAATGCAGCCTTCTTCAAGGATAAGGCTGTACGGCCACCACAAGATTTCCTTCAACCCTAATGCAATAAAGAACACTGTTAGTAAATAAGTAGCTCAGCCTGAGGCATTAGATACTGAAATTATAGAAAAAAAATCCTGAAAAAGCACTTTTGCAAACAAAGTACAGCAACCAGCAGGACTCAAATAGCAAGCTACAGAGCAACACATTGGCAAATACAGCTGGATAAAGGACTTGGAAATGCCCATCCCAGCTAGCACTGCTGAGGTTATGTGGATTACAAGGCACACTGACAGCATTCTGACCTCCCTGGGAATTAAATTGGAGCCAGGCACCCCTCCTGGTATGGCAGAACCGAATGAAATCTTTTACTGACCAGGTGTAAGTTGTATTATTTTAAGTGTTTAAGATCTGGCCGACTCACAGTCTTAGCAACTGCTTTAAGTTTGTTGTTGCACACAATGCCTCAAATATCATGTGATCACTCACGTTTTAATCTAATCTTGTCTGAGTTCTTAATGCCATTTAATTGTACCACTACGCTTTGCCAGCTAGGTTCATACTGCCATCTGAAGGGTACCCACACAAATGAATAGTGGGAGAAAGAGAAGGAAAGGGCTTCATGACTGCCCGGAGACAAGGAGTCACTATTCAGCCAGTCAAAGAAACATCTGTCTCCAGGGAGCCCTGGCCTTCCTCTCTTCCCCTAGCAGGAAGGAAGCGTAAGCTGAGCACAGAAAGATGCTGAAGTGCCCAGGAAACGTGGCCGGCACTGAGGCTCTCAAACAACCTTTTTGCTCAAGGGTAGTCCCATGTGTGAGGGAAAGGAAGGCGACTGAGTTCCCAACAGCTACTTCATCATGACAAGAAGGCAGCTGGACAGAGAAAAAAATGATGGCTTAGACCTTGCAGAAATATATCAAGTGGTTTTCTTCACCTTTTCCTGTTTTCGCTTTTTCTGAAAACTCTCTTCTTTTTTACTTTTTAGATTTTCTAATTAAATGCTTTTCACTTTTTTCCTTAGCCTGGTGTACATGAGACTGTGATTTTGCAGCACCTAGAAAGTAACAGGGAACCTCTTAGCAAAGGGCACAGCAACACCACAGAACAAGGGAGAGGGCTGGTGCCACTGCGAGGCTGCAGCCAGAGAGGCTCCTGAGGCAAACCGCTCCTGGCTTCAGTAGTGGGGCTACAGGGAACTGGGAAAAGCCTTGAGAAAGAGATGAAACGCCACTCAGAACAGACAAGAAGATGACTGGGAATAGTTGGCATGCCTTTACAGAGGGGTGATGTGTAAGGCCTTAACCAGCTCATTGGGACAGCCCTCTGTGATGAGTGACCAGCTCAGTGGATACAGGGCAAGCAGTGGATATTGCCTACCGTGACTTGAGGAAGGGTTGATGTTATCTGCTGTAACACCCTCACTGACAAGCTGAAGCACAGGCTGGGTAAGCAGTGACACGGGCTGAGCAGTGGTCGAGCAGGCCCAGAAGGTTGTGATCAGTGGCATAAAGACTACTTGGATCCCAGCAATAAGCAGCGTATGCCACCAGGTCAGCATTGGGGCCAGTCATTCTCAAAATCTTTATTAATGACCTAGATGAGGGGACAGGCATCATGCACACCAGAGGGTCATCCCAAGATGACCCTGACAGCCTGGGAAAATGGCTGACACGAACCTCATGACGTTCAACAGGGAACTGCCAAGTACAGTATAGCAGAACTACATCAAATTGCAGGTGTGAACACAAAGCCAGCTCCCAATTTCAGTAATCACTAAATCCCAATATTTTACAATACATACCTTGTACTAAAGCTTGGTTTAGAATTCCCTTTTGTATTCATAAGGCAGCAGAAGGATTCTACAGAAGGCTGTCTTCATCAGCATTTTAAAATGTTAACAGTAACCTAAAAAATAAAGAGACAGCAGTGACACAAACTAGAAAAAACAGTTTTCTCTTTTCACATACCCACGTGTATAAAATGAGGATATAAACATCAGTAATACTTCACACCACCAGAAAAAGCCATTTATTCTGTACTCGTTCTTACCCTTAGTTGCTCCTAGACACTTCTTCGGCTTTAAAATCTTAAATGGAATTTTACTGCCTCGCAGTTAAAAACCAGTTGGTTCAAGAAAGTTCCTAACTATCATACTTTAGCTTTGAGTAAATGCAGTTCTGCTCCACAGTCCTGTCACCTCTTTGTATGGTTTTAAAAGACACATCCTCAAACAAAGCACGTTCTTCTGCTAGGCCTGCCAAATCCAGGCTTCATCTTTACCATATTATTGCCACTAAGATAACTAGGATCCACACACACAGCCCACTGCTATTAATGATAACTGACATCTCTACTTTCAGCCTGGTTGTGGTGAGGGTATATAAGCAGAAAGGCAGCCTCCTCCATGTTCCTCAGACAGCTGTGGTACTGATACGTAACAGGAACAGAGCTATACATGAAAATTCAATTGGAGTAAAACGTCCTGCTTTAACAACTCGGAGCAGAGCTGTGCACAAGTCTGATGAAAATGTATTTCTACACTGATTTTGGAAACAGATGCAAAAGTTTAAGACTTGTTATTTCAAAGCTTCTAGTATAGATCTGCTTGTGTTTGTGCTAAGTGCGCAGACACGAGAAGGAGCAAACCAGAATGTAACTTTATTCCTATCAATTGATAATTACAACCTATTGGAAATAAATCAGAATTGTGTAGGTAAGAACCCAAAATGTTAATGAGGATATTCACCTTGAACTCTGCGTTGCTTCTTCTGCAGTCCACATGAAAAAGCTCTTAGTGTTCAAAAAAACAGTACTTCCCTGTGCCACACATTCAGGTTTCAAAACAAGTTTCAAAACAACCCCCCAAATGCCACAGATTTAAGATCCAGCTGCTGTGCTGGATGAGTTATACAGTGAATTGCTCAGGCTGGGGAAACAGACCTGGAAGCGTGCTGCAGGGCTAAGGAGCATGACAGAGCCTTCATACAGAGGAAGACTAATGGGAAAGATCCTGATTACAGCAGCACAACAGGATGAAGAGCTCTGTATCTCTCAGATAAAGGCTCCTTAGGGCAGTTTACCACCATCTTGAGGCCTTGCTTGACAACCAGAAAACCTGGCACACATGTAAAATACATGTTAGACAAAGAAGGACTCTGGAGAGCCACACACAAGGCATACCTATTAGGCTGGCTTCACTTACAGGATAGCTTCCAAGAGCAACTCACAATTGACTTAGGTGCAAACTGCAACACAACCATGAACATTATAGTGAAGGTAACATTACCTTATCAGATACAGCTCAAGAATGGCAGATGCTGGAATCTCAGATTAAGCACAGCTGACAAAATGTAATCCTTCAGTCCTATTTAAAGTGCTGACAACTTCATCAATTCTCTCATTTCATCTACCCACCTCCCCCCATATACACAGTGCAGTTTCCTACATGTCCAACTTTAAAAGCTGTTACCTGTTCCATAACAGACGGATGAGTATCTTCTTAACAAAGCAGGTGGTGCACAGCCTGTACTACTAACCCTTGCTAACTAAAGCTGCCATTCTGCAAGTTCTCATACTAAAATCCTTAACTGGTCAAAGACAAGTAATTGCCACAGCTATGGCTGTCTGGCTAGAACAGCCATCTAGAGAAATAACGGTAACAAACAGCATCCAGTGCCTTCAAATGGTGAAGCTAATTCAGCTACTCAAAAATAAATAAGTACATCTTAAACGGAAACTGTAACTGCAGACTGCCATTCTTTCAGATTATATTTCAATATTACAAAAAAAAAAAAAAGCACTAACAATTAGGCTTTCTTTTCTTTTCTTTTCTTTTCTTTTCTTTTCTTTTCTTTTCTTTTCTTTTCTTTTCTTTTCTTTTCTTTTCTTTTCTTTTCTTTTC